ACTACTAGTAAGGCACTTGTTTCTAGTAGCGTGGCACTTGTTACTACACGCCAGATCTTGCTTTCGGTGCCTCCGGTGCTTCTTCCTCCGCCGCCTTTGCCAGGCGTGCCAAGGCTGGCCTCGGTGGCTGCGGCAGCTTGGAGCAGAACCGGAGTTGACATGGAGGAGTGACATCTTCAGTTCCAGATCGAAACTGATCAAGGGTTTTTTTTGCAACTCAAGTGCACCATGACTGGCTGTCATCCATGTTCAAGCGTGGACCGTGCAATTCACAAATGATGCCGTAAGAAGTAAAGAGTCATCAATCCAGTATAGTTGTTTGTAATTCCTGCTGGATGGCTATTCAAGGGTAGCCGGTCCAAAAACCACGCCAACTTCGAACTGCTTGTATACTGTATACTCCAACTCACCAAAGTGGGCAATCGCACTGGCAATGGGCGCCCCTAAAACAAGACTACTTTCCTGTACCAAAGTGGATGGCTCCTTCCAACTTCAGAACCTGGTCGGAGCGTTCTGACTCTCAGCCGACCCAAAAAAACACTTCGACCAAAGGGCTTCTGGAGAGTGCCATTCGCTGAGAAGGGCACCTGTGAGATGGGCACCGTTGGGGACGTGTGAGGTTGGGACGTGAATAGTACAAGACATCATCGGGGCTCCGTTTGGGGCTCCAACTACCTACCTCTGAGAATCAGTCCAGTGCTCAGTTCAGAGGGAACTCCAGGGGGGAGGTGACACTGGTGAAACGATCTTCTTAGGATACAGTTGGAAGAGTTAGAACTATCCATGGGATCCATGGTTCTTTATTCTGAGAGGGACCCTACTGGACCCTGCATGTTTTTGTGAACTCCAACATTGGCAAGACCCCCGTACAATTGCCCTGAACAAACAAAACAACTCAAAGACCAACATGCTTCAGCAATTCAAGTACAGTACGTATGTCTCAATGAAGATCTTTGCGCCCAAGGCCCTGAACATAGCCCCACTGCTCATGAGCGCATCCAAAAAAAGAGAATTCACATGGATTCACCGAAAAGGGACCCTTGGTTGCTCGCAGCGAACCTCCCGAAAACGCCCACGCCCGGCTGCCTCCGTTTCGCCCACGCTGCTGATCCGAAGCACCTCGGTACGCCCGGGGTGGCGGCTGAACCGCCGAAGGTGGTGGCCATGCCGGTCTGTTGACGAAAACGTCTTGGCGAAGACAGAGACACCTGAGCTTTCGGAACAAGCTCATGGCGGCACCAAAGCATGAGGCCGTGTCAGCGACGCGTCTGAGGCCATTTCACCGGCCTGTCTGTGGCAAGCTGCTCGTAACAACAAAAACCACTGAGTACGTCGTCTCATCTTCCAAGCGGCCCAAAATTGACTCCGTCGCAAAGCACTGAACCCTCCCACCACCGGCTCTCCACCACCCAGGAACTCCTTCCATATGAATCTTCAGAGGAGGGAACCCGTCCTCCACCTTTCTTTCGGTTTCGCGCTCCGGCTCCCGGCTCGACGAGCTCCGCAGAAGAACACCCCCGCTCAGGACCCCCGCGAAGAGCCGCGCGGCCTCGTGTCCATGCGCTCCGGAGGCTGCTGGAGTGGGTCCTAAGGAACGACAATCCTCCCAGAAGCTCAGCCAGCTGTGGAGCGCCTCCTGCAGAACCGGCGCCGGGACCCGGAAGAACGGAGTGGAGAGCGCGCGGTGCGCAAATGGGGCCCAAAAGATGAACAGAGTGCAGGACCTGCAGGACCTGCATTGAGGTGGTTTCAGGAGTACCATGCGTGGAGCATTTGGACCAGGAAGGAATAGATTCGAGAGAATCCTCCCATGTGTTGGAAGCCATTTCTTGGGTTTGCAGCTGCTGGGAGACAGAAAGAAAGAATTATAATAACTAGACCGACTAGACTATGCAAGCTATATCGTGGATGGTCTAGCTAGCTTGAAGATTGTGGATATATAGTGGAGACAACACAAGCGCCTGCTACGAGGGACCACAAAAGCAAAGGATCTGCGGATTTCTTGCTTCTGATCCAAATGTCACAAATGAGTGCAGAAGACAGGATCCTTCACGGATCCGCCCTTCGCGGTTGAACTTCTCCAAACCCTTGACAAAGAGCCTGCAGTTGATGCCGTACAATTGATGTTCTCGAATGTGTTTTGCAGATCAAATGAGGATGATCCCAACTCTCCTTCATGATGAACAAAATGCTCCTGCTCCGAGTACCATCCATCTCACATTGGAAGTTTGGTGAGGTGTCCGCATCATTCGGCACCTTGCTACACGTCAAGCCACGGGGAACGGATTGCCACGAGATGTGCCCCTTCCTCATCTTGCAGGGATGCATCAAGTCGTGGAAGAGTACAAAGTCAGTCCCCCCAAAAGGTTACGCAGAACCATCAGAGCCCTTCACAAATGAATAATATTGTCCAATAACTACCAGGCAATCAAACGAATTCACAATGGAGTGTTCATCTGTTGTGGGAAAGTGCTGTTTGTCCTTCCCAAGTAGAATGGCTCGAACACACCTGACCTGACCACTTATTTGCTTCAGGATTTGTCCAACAAAAACAAACATAAAAAAACATGGACCCTGACTGTATGATGATGTGCTTTGCCCAGCCACTCCAGGCCACTCCAGCCCGCTCCCCGCTCGCTCCTCCAAGTCCTGTGGCTTCATCTGCGCCGGGCGCCGCGCGTTCGGCGGCGGTCGCCGCGCCGGCGGAGGCAAACTGCTGAGCGGAGGCCCTGCGGGGGGCGCCGGAGGGGCAGGTGCCACGGCAGCCGTTGGTGCCGTTGCTGGCGCCGGTGCAGATGCCGCGGGGGCTGGGGCATTGGGGAAGGTGGAGGTGGGTGGTGGCAAGGCTGTTGGAGCTGGTAGGGAAGGTGGTGGGAGTAAGTTGGGAGCTGGCAATGTGGCAGATGGTGGTGGCAAGTTAGTGGTTGGTGGTGGTAAAGCTGGAGCTGGCAATGTCGCGGCAGGCGGCGGTACTTGTGGCCCTGCCTTTGCAAGGTTCGCATCTGGTGGATTGGGAGCTTCCGGTGCTGGAGGACCTGGTGGTGGACTTGGAGCTTTCGGCTTGGAGCTAAAGAGTGAGCTGAACCATCCAGGCTTAGAAGCCTTCGGTGGTGGCGGCGGCCCTGGAGGGGGAGGATCTGGCGGTGGATCCTGCGGCTCTTCAGGAATCGAAGGCCCTGAGGTCCATGAGCCCATGGGTGGAGGAGGCTCAGCTGGAGGAGGCAGTGGTGGCGCATCGGGAGCCCCTGGGGCCCCTGGGGGCGGTGGCCCAGGTGGGGGGGGCGCCGTGGGCTTTCCACCAAAGATCTTGCTCAACATGGCGGAGATTTGGCCAATCCGAAGAAAAATAGGGCAGAATCTTCCGTGGTCAAACTGGTCACTGGTCCGTTATTGGGACTTTTGGTCAGGTCCAGCATCAGTTCTTTATTGCACGCCCTGACAGGCATACCATTGTGAAGTCTTCTATATACATTGCACCTATTGTACTTTTTTGGGGGGTATTGTATCTTGGATCAGCGGATCAGCGTCAAACTAAACCGACCGATCTTGCTTGGTACGACTTGTTCCCCACAATAGACGCGATGTGTGGAATCAAGTGCTTCTGGGCAAATTACAGGCTCCTCCAAAGTATGGCTTCCGCGCATGAGCGTGTATTTTTATAGGGAGACCCGCTGGCCCTGGCTGGGTAGACTGGTCATGACTGGTCTATGTCTATTGCCCTTCTGGAAGAGGCCTGGGAGGTCTCCCTAATACACACCCGTCACGTTTCGTGAACTTGTGGTTCTTCTCCCCTGGACCCGCCAATCGATTGATGGACCATGATGGACCCGATCCTTACGGTAAAAAACAAGGGCGCTAAATTTTACACGCCATTTTAAACCAACCCTCAGTAAACCACCACTTCCTCTTAACGGTATGATTCGGATCCGCGTCTGAAACTGCTCTTTCTGCCTGGTGTTTTTTCTTCGGATCACCCGAGACGCGCCGCGGAGAGCAGGATGGAATGAGGATGACACCTGAGCGGATGGAGTAAGGACTTCTTGTCGAAGAGGCGACCGCTGGAAGCAAAAATCACCGACTCCCTCGGAATGAAAAAAGGAGAAACCACCTTTTTCATGCATGTGTCCTATCTTTGTTCTTGGTTCAATTAGAGGGAAAACCAATCCCCCACAAATTAAACGTTATCCACTGACTGGGCAAGACAAGGCAAAGAAGATTCCACTGGATTCCCATCAGATGCCAATCCTCCAAGGGGTTGTTTCACGGATTTTATCCTTTTTCGTTGTGGCGCCGGATGTTCATTGAAACTCAATCTTCCACTATCTTCCACTTCTGCAGAGATCGGGTGCCAGTCAGGTACCAGTACCTGAAGACCTTCAACTGGAAGATGGAGCGGAATGGCCCAGCCCCCGGCCGCAGAGTCAGACCTTCACAACCCCCCGAGTACTCAGGACCTCGGTCGACCCGACGTCGACCTGGCCTCACACACATGGCGATAACATCCGGCAAGGCAGCTGGTTTGTTCTGAGATCCGTGTTGAACACCGAAGCTGTTGTTTTGATGGAAAGCACCTGTTTGAGCACCTGTCCGAGGCGTTTGTTTCATCCTCCCACCTTCTTCATTCGGTCTTTTGGCATCACTAGGTTTCTTGGTGAATTCGAAAGCAGTGGTGCGAAAGATTGAAATCGTTGGTCGCCCAGATCGGCTTGGGAGTTCAGATTGGCCCCCCTGCCATGGGCTGAGGTGAAGATCTTGTTAGGCTGATCCCCTGGAGTGTCTCAATGACGTGCCGCGGCTTGTCTTGAGCATTGAAAGTCCAGTTTGTTCGCGGCTGATAGAGATTCTACAACTCAAATAGAGCAGGGCATTCCTTGTGTCATCTTCCTTCTCATGTTTTTTTTCATGACTAAGCTTGAACCTGCCAGCGAGGCCAAAGAAAATCCAAAAAGAAAACCTCCCGCCGGCAGCTCTCGGGGTCTGGGTCCATGATTGAGGATCAAAAGATGGTAGGGAGGCTCAACGACCAGGTCAGTGCCCCTTTCTTCATCAAAGGCTCTCTCGCATCAATGATGATCCATGGAATATACATGGAACAATACGGAACAACCATATCAACCTGTGTGAAAAGAAACGAACTTGGAACTGTCTTACGTCTACATTGCTACATCCTGCACACGTCGCTGAAGAGGCTTTGGTATTAGTGAATGAAATACAATGTTGGACCATAGTATGGACCATAGAAACAAAACATCCGTGTCAATGGACTTTGCTCCTGAAGTCCTTGAGCCATCAAAAAAAACATAGTTTTTGAATAGGGAGACCTCGAGCACCCACATGTGAATCCTGAATAAGCTTCTTAGAATCATTCGGGGGTTGCCTGCTTTCAGACCCAACCTACATCTGAATTGTACGGACAAAGGCGCGGATTCACCCCAAGGTGGGACGACGTTTTGGGAAGTCTGAAGGAGGTCATGATGCAAGATCCTCTGCCATTGCAACCTGCAAGAGGATAACATGTGGAGTGAAGCCACCATGACCAACGGCTTCATAACTCCCAGGCCTAAAAAGCACGTCGATTTGCCCGGAAAAAAAAAACAGAAAGATGCCGAAAAACCGCATTCAACTGCCACAACCGCCTTCCCACAAGAAGGCCACAAACAAAAAACACCGTACAGTCAGTTAGATGCTGCACAGTCAACAAACAACGCCACAACCAACTACCCCTCTGGCAGCGCCACCGCTGCCCACTGCTACCCGCCTGGGCCCTTAGTGCAGCCTCCGCTCGGTCGATGGTACTCTGCCTCGGGGATCGCTCCGCGAAAAGAGCATCACTTGGCCCGGTCGGAGATTGGACGAAATCTTTTCGGGGCAGTTCGGAATACAAATCAACCGCCTACAATCATCAGCTGATCTCTGCTCGGATTCTGAGTGAGGACTTGACCCCAACTGTCCAGTGGTGGACGATGAACTGGACCGTTGCTATGCTGACCACAGGGGCTCTGGATTGAGCCCTGCGACCCGTTGCTTCGCTCGTGGTGACTCTGGCGAAAGAAAGCTGGAAGAACTCCATCAAAGCTCGATTCACAAGCTGGACAGAAAGTTCTTCCTTCAGACACATCGTTCCATGCCCTGAATTGTCTGTTTGGCTTGTTTGGAAATCACACACAATAGAAAACATTGAGTGGTTGGTCGTTGCTCTAGGCTCACGTTCTTCACCAAGGACCAAAACCTGTTGACGCTTGCGACGCCCAGCGGCAAAAGCTGACGCCCTCGATCCTCAGTGGTGCCTCGGCACAACACGAAGAAAGCACGGTGAAAACCGGAAAAGTCTCGGATGAGTCGAAGGATTGATCAAAATGTTTGACAGGTACATACGGTATAACTTTATTTGTTGTTTTAGTTTAGGGACTTAATGTGTTTCTGGTTCAGCTAGACAGTCTTGATTTTGTATCCAAAACGTCCGAACTAAGGATTTAGAAAGTTTGACGGGCGCAGGTTCAGTTTTACCACTGCTGCTAACATTCCCTGAAAAAGGTTGCATTGACTCAAATTTGAGAAAAGACACTTGTGGAATCTTGTGGATGCAACATAAACATACAGGCTTTTTGATCAATCATTAGAACCACACTCAATGAGACCCTTGGCTCCCTCCATCTACCTGCTACAGTATGCTACAGTATCCTTTGTGAGTGTGGTGGTCAAACCCAACTCAGCAAAAGAACACAAAAGAACCGTGGAGTCCGCAACATCACCGTTCCGTTCAGCAAGCCACGCCCCTCGTCCCCCCCCACAGCCCTGCGTCGAAGGTGCCACTCGCGAGGGAGCTTTGAATCTCCTGCAGGTTCCGATGGAGGCTCAGGATGATGTTACCCACCGCCTCGGCACCGTGCGGACGGTCCGGCGTTGGGTGAACCGCCTCACCAGAGCATCGGCAAAGCACCAAGCACTCCAGGCTCCCAACCACACCCTAATATACACGAGTCACAGCATAAACCTCAATACAGTAATTGAAGATGACAATCAACAGCAAACATGCTACTACAGGATCTACAAATGGCTGCCGGGTGGTGGGGCCAGATTGACCGACCGTCTGACAACCTCTCATCAACCGACGATGTGGGGGACCTGTATCAACACGTCACAGCAATCTTGAAACCAATTCTTCTATGAATTGTGTTGTAGTGATTGCAATTGGATTCAAACGATCTTTCCACTACTAGTTCGACATTGTTTCCATCCATACAGCAGCACACCTTCCTTCCAACAACGCAAGTGGAAGACTCGCCTTTGCTCACTCAAGTCTCATCCGATCTCACCTCTAAAAACCCGTTGAGGTTGCCCTCCCCTCAATCGAGTCTTGCGTGGTTCAACGAGTTTGACAAAGACCCACCTCCATGTCGGGTCTCACCACGACCTCCGCGCACAGAAAAAGGGCGCCGAGTCGGCACGTCGATGTCGTCGACATCGAAGGAAACAATTGGATGATCCCCAACGGCGATGCCCTTGTTACTAGTATAGCTTCATTCTTGTTACTAGTCGTAGCGATGCCAATGTAGTAGCTTCTTGCTACTAGTGATGCCCTGGTTACATCTTGTTACTAGTAGCATCTATAAGCGATTTGGAAAGAGTCTTCCCGTCCAAAGCGCTCACTTTTAAGATCCACCGGCGACCGGAGACCGCTCTTCCCATCCGGACGCCTCACGAGACCATGGGTCGCGGCTTCGCCCGCGTGGCACGACGGATGTGTACGCGTAGATGTCAAGGATGGTGTGTTCATTGCTCGATGGATCTGGAGCAATGTCCTTGGGTTGAACATGTTGAGTGAATGTGGTGCAATCATGTGAATACATTGTTCTTTTCAGCTTGGAGATCAGCCCATCTGACTTCCTTCCTCGGGCGCCCACCTCATGCCTCTGGAGCACCCGGCCGCGGCACCAGGGCGATCCACCGACCCAGCGGGGGAGGCGGTGTAGTTACACAAAATAAATAAGTGTTGGTAACATAGGAGTCACAGACTATAAAAAGAATGGTCGGTCGGTGACCCGAAAAGGAACTTGGACTTCTTTCTGGGGCATCAGTTCTTTTCGAAGCATGCAATCACATGAAACCAAACAACTCCGGTGCGAGGCACAGGAATAAACAGGTTTATCATCTCTCGTGGTTCGGGGTGCCGCGCCGCTACGGTCTTGGTCTGGTCTGAGCCATCATTTAAGAAATGGGTATCAAACTCTGACTTCATTCTCCATATAGTTATCATTATTTGTCCATTGTGATCCTCTAAGATCCTTTAAGGTCAAGTTGATTGATAAAGCTATGAT